TGTGTGTGTGTGTGTGTGTGTGTGTGTGGTTGTGTGTGTATACACATACACGCACAGGGATCACTCCATCTGATTCTTCTCATTTAGTTTTTAAATTCCACTCCTCAGCATGTGAGGTTTAGGGGAACATCTGTAAATAAAAGCATCTACTGATAGCTTGAATGTGAGGTTTTAGGGGAAATTTGTAAAGTAACCTGGGTTACACTCTCCCCTCTTAACTTTGCAATAATCTATTATTCCTACCAAAAACATCTGCAGGAGCATTCTAAAAGACAGGCCTTATTTTATTTTTCCAAGAAACCATTTATCCAAATAATCATTATTTACATGTGTATGTATATCATTCAGCCTAAAATTACTCACTGTACTGTTGTATCAAATAAGGAAATACAAAAAACTTCAACACACTCACTGCCTGACATGTTTCTCCCTTGACCAGCTCAATGACACTTGCACCACAATTTAGGTAAGAGCTAAAGAAACAGCTACATGTTGTGATAAACCTACCTGAGGTGTTCTTTTTAGACGACTTCTTGTTACCTCCAGATTTTGTGCTTAGGGCTACAGCAACAGGGGCTCTGCTTAGAGTACTCCACCTGTCAGCCTGCAAACACTGTCAAAAACACATACAACAGTGATTTCAGTTGCATTATTTTCTTACCTTAGAGGAGTGATAACAGAGTACTGTGAAAGTCAAACTTAAGACTAAGCAAAACCAGTTCACCTAAACCACCCTTACAATTGGGGGGTATAAGGAAGTTATCTTATTAGATCTGCTCCTGAAATGATTAAGGGAAATCCTACATTATGTTGTTTAGGAATTATCCTCAGAAAATGATGTCCAATTAACAATTACCAGTTTAAACATGTGACTACCTCAATGTTTTTTATTTTATTTATTTACTTCTAAAAAAGGACATAGCAGCTGGGTTTACATAAAGGCTGTGTTGCTTAAAATGGCAGCTTTAGAGGACACAGCAGGGGCATGTGTCAGTAACAACCCCTCTGAAAGTCAACTCACTTACAAATGTGACTTCTTCCCATGCTGTCATGAAAATATACTGAAAGAACCTCTTCTTTGTAGCTTGACAGTTACTGGGAACTTATTAGGGTTTTGACCATCATTTAAAAGTTGCCTGTATTTTCAAGATCATTGTCTCTGTCCTTGACAGTACACATGGCCTATTAGATGTTAGCCTACACTAAACACCTTAGGAGTGTCAGTGTACTCACAGAAACATTTGGACTTTCATCTTCTAACTTAATATGCAAAACATCTCTTTCCAGTCTGATGATATCATCTGTTTGGGTTTCGTGGTATGTTTTATGACAAATTTAACCAAAGCCTTTTTTTCATAGGATATTCTAAACTCCACTAGAACATTAACTCAAGTTCTGTGATTATCAATAGTGTCTGGTTTAGTGTCCATTACTACTTAGTATGCATTGCCAATTCAAATGTAATCATCAAATTTGTATTAGGGGAACAATGACTAACTTTCGACATAAATGCACATGCTCATTCAACTAAGGTTCAAATGAATATCAACCACAACTGCCATGGCCACATGCACTAATCCAGCATCAGTCTGCAGGCCTGGTGTTTGGTGGAAGCCTGCTCCACCAGCTAACTTACTTATAAACTCTCTCGCTCCATGTGAGAGCTTTGTCACGTTGCTGCGTCTCGTTTCATGACTCGTCAGCTCAGAAATTCATTTTAAAACAATCACTTTTAAGATCATGAAGCTGAGGCAGCGATAGCTCCACCTACTGAGCATGGTGGTAATCAGCCAAACATTTCCGACATTATTTCCAATTATTTAATGAAATTACACTTAGAACGCATTACCTTAATACAACCCAGTCGTCCCATCCTCAGCAAGGAAGCCGCCATCTCTGCGTGCTGGCATTCGGTGAGCACACAACGAGAAGTTAACACAGTGAATCGACCACATCCAAATATCCTGAACATGCATTTAGCAACATTAGCATCGTGCAACGAAACAGAACTGCAATGAAACAACAGCTGCGTTAACGTCTCCCACCTGTTCTCGGTGAGACTGGAAGCAGCCTGTGCGAATCAGAGAGCTGTTACCTTCTGAATAAATGAGGCTAAAACTCGTTCCCTTTCCGCAGCGCAGAGGTCCGGGGTCTCAACTCACACCGTGCTGGTCACCTTTATGTAACATGTGACAGTGAACGCCCCCCTCCCGAGCAGCCCGTTATCACTTTGCCGTTCACAGTCGCTGGTTATCCAGGACACGAACAATGGTCTGTCATTAATGCTGTATGCATATTGGACGCGGATACGTGTTGGTACATGTACCGTGGATGGACATTAAACTGAAAGGGTTCCGATTTAAATGTTGTTTTTTTTCTCGAAACGCACCGCGGCTCTGTTGTTACTTTCTCTGCTCAGAGGTTTTATTGTTCTGTCATGGTAAAGAACGCTGGATTTGTGGGGCTGCTGTGTGAAACACGTTGTCCTCTCTCAGGGAACAAAACCAGCTTGTGTACATTCTGTACTTTTTCCAGGGGGGTGTGTCGTCCGTTACGTAAATTTCACGCGACAGAGAAATCTTTTTTTTTT